AAGAGAGGAGAGGGCGCAGACGGGCCACCAGACGAAAAAATTCGGAATATTTATGTTCGGTATTATTAGCGTACGTCGGCGATATCTCGGTGGGCATCGCTAATTAGCCCGCGCGAACGACGCGGACCTTTCGGCAAACAGTGCTGGCTACTGTCTTTAAAGGTTCTTCCTCGAGCGCAATCAAGATGGTGGCGCCAACCACCCGGCGAAGTTGATTCCGAAACTAATTGCCACGGCTAATTTATCCCAACGACATATACGCACAGAGACACCATTCTCGGATACTGCGTAATCGCGTTCGCGTAATCGCCGTCATACACCGGGAGGATCTATGCGGACGACCTCATGTAGGTGCTCAAACTTAGACGAAGGCATGGACGCTCTCTCTCTCTCACAATCAGCTGGTTTTAGTATTGTAGCATGGTAAATTATTGTCTACAGCTGGACGCGAGATAGATAGGTTCCGTCGCACAATTATACGCACGATGTTTCACTATCAATTTTCCTCTTGATGATATCTTGATAAAAATTTGATGAAAATAAAAGATAATTATGAAATTATTAATAAGAGATTATATTAATGGAATTATATTTAATATCGAAAATTAAAATTATTGAAAATTGAAATCTATGGAATTTTTATTTTAAAGTTTCGGTTTTTTGTGCGAAGAATATAAAAAGACACGTACACAACTAATACCTATTTAGTCACTATTACAAGATATATATTTGAAAATTATTTAAAAAATTATCATTAAGCGAATGTGTTATTAAAATATTCTAGTACTTTATAGTATGAATTATAGTGCAGAAATTTAATTCGATCTCTACGAGAAATAGTATATTGTATAGTATAGTATATATATACTAATTAGTATATTAGTACATAATATATTAATTCATAATTAAGTTTATTTATGTTTCGAATTCAGATTTTATGCCTTTCTTTAGCAAGGCGACAGACAAGGAGTCTTAGGTAACGGGGGGAATAAACTCTACTGGTTATGATATATAATACAATTTATTAAATAAACTCTTCTATTCATCGTATGTTTGTTTTACATTTATACAAAATTGGAAAAAGAATCTTCTTCCGAAGTACCGAGATTCATTCATCTCAATATCTGCGCATACTGTACGATGTAAACGTAACCCCATTTCTCAAGTAGTCCACTGGATGTTTATATACAAAGCGATTAACGCTATAAGTAATATTTACAATTCTATTTACAATAGTTTCTTTTCAAGACAGTTGCAATCGATATTGGCACAGAGCTTAAACACAAATTTTTCAACAGACGTTTCATTTTCTTCTTTAAACTAATACTGGAAAACGTGAAGCCGATTATGCGAGATTTCTCTCTCCGAAATCGTTCTAAGACAATTATCATTATATTTACAATAGTTTCTTTTCAAGACAGTTGCAATCGATATTGGCACAGAGCTTAAACACAAATTTTTCAACAGACGTTTCATTTTCTTCTTTAAACTAATACTGGAAAACGTGAAGCCAATTATGCGAGATTTCTCTCTCCGAAATCGTTCTAAGACGATTATCATTATAAAAAAAAATGTTTTCTATTGTAATGCTGCAACGTTTTACAATCACGTGATTTTTAAATCTGCTTTTTTTTTGCATAATCCGAAATCATTCCATAATGCGGTGACAAGTTAATCCACCTGTTTTTCTGCCCGGTATTGTTCAAACTTCCAACTCTCATTCCCTTGCGGGATGCTGGGTGATCGCGTGATGAGGTGTTAAGCCTGGATGAGACAGCATTCCTACGGGGTAAAGTCCCGCGGAAGTTAAGAGTCCCGGATGTGAACCGTAGAGCGCCGTATGGTGCTGTCTCACGGCCGACATCCTTAATTTCTCGATTTCCGCTTCTTGCAAACGTTTCGCTTTGGCACGTCGGTTCTGAAACCAGATCTTCACCTGCAACAATAAATCAATTCAAATTTATAGCGGCGTATTTGGGATGATGAGTTTCGACACGATGACTAATGCGAGATATGGTTATTCGTGTTTGCGAATCTTCTGACAAGATTTAGTAATCGTTGGGGATGTAATGATTTACACCGAATCGCGGCTTCCAAGCAATTAAATTTATAAGCTAAAATTAGTTCGAGCCTGCAACGTTTATCGCAGACTATCCATGGTCTTTACTAATTGCATTTTAATATCGATTAAATATATTGACACAAGATTTCCATTAATTTGAAATGAAAATAAATTGTGTCAGTTTTATGGCATCATATAATTTCGCATAACTTTGTTTATTCCGTTGGAATCCGTGGCTCGAACGTTCGCGACACCGAAGTCTTTAAAATAAATTCGAAGAGAACACATTAAATTTCATCTAAACGTTACTTTCGGGACATAATTTTGGCAAATAGTATCTCGATGACGTCGCGATAAAAGTCGAAAAGAAGAACTGACGAAAATAATCCGCGATAATATCGTGGCGACGTGTACATCTGCGACTATAAACAAACCGTTACCCCTCGCCGTAATATTATCGCCGTCTATCTTAATCGAATAATCGATGCCGTTGTTGTCGGATCATTACGAAGCGGGGCTGATTCGCCGTTTGCCGTTCGTACGCACGCGCTAAGGCACGCGAAATGCGTTTCGGAAATCGCTGCCAGAGAATCGGGATCTCAGCCGGAGATAATTGGTCGGTCATCGCGTGCTATCGCGGAACGCGCGTGTTTCAGGCAATTTGTAGTCTATTAATAAAATTACCATCCTCTCTTTGCGCCCATGTACCGAGACAGCTCGGATAGCGCGCATTTACGTGCGCTAATTACCGCGCATCTGGCAGAACGCCGCCGCGCCGCGCAGCCATAACTAAGCCTTGAAAGACACGCAGGAATTGTTTTGACTCGTGAATGGCACCCGGTCCCGAGGAAATAAAAGTGGCGAAAGATACGGAGAGTTCCAGTTTGAGTCTTAACGGATGTCTCACGAGATCAGCCGCTGTGCTGCTTCGAAGAAATTATGATCCCCGCCGCGCGGACCGGATACTAAATGTGTTAATTTGATTGCGTAACAAGTGAGGTATTTACAATCCTCGATTAAATATTTCCCCGGCTACGGTTCAATAAACCATCTTTACATTTAAGATGGTTGTAGAATAAACACCGACAAGTTGAACGAGTTAATAGCCTACTCGCTAATTAGCGCTAAGAGACATCTGTGTAAAGTTGTGTGATCGTACACCTCGCACGAATGATTAGAAAAATCACTTGGCAAGTTATCCTTGGCGCGATGAACAAACCATCTTTGTTTCCCCTTTGTATTTTATTAGCGAATATTTATATACAGACTTAAAAGTTATACGCAGCAAACATCATTGTTAATTAAGGATAATTTGATGCGTGGCAAATTTAAATTTCGTTACACAACTTACACACGTTTTGAATAATACATTCTTGAATAGGAAATTGATTTTTACCTGTGTCTCCGTGAGGTGCAACGACGACGAGAACTCTGCCCTCTCAGCGACACTCAAGTACTGCCTCTCCCTGAACTTCTTCTCGAGGGCCAATAACTGCTGTGTCGTGAAGGGCGTTCTGGGCTTTCGGTTAGGCTTGTGCTTCCTCAGGTTGCACTTAATCTTAGCCGGCTCGCCGTTCTCTGGAAGCGGAAAAAAAAGAAACACGTTTTCAGTCGAAGTGCATGTCGTGCACGGGAACAGCGACGAGCATTATGCTCGTATGAACAAACTGACGGACACGGATACGTCCTCCCGCGAGAAGGTGTTTCGCGTTGGATAGGTAGGCCAACGGAGGAAAGGGCCGGGAGACCGCAATGTCCCGTTTTTGTCGGCCTCGAACGGACTCGAATAGCCCGGCGAGGGCAAACGCATCTTTTTAGGGTGCAATTCATAATTTTTCCGTCGGAACGGCGCCGCAAACTGGTCTCATTACTTTTTTGCCGGCTGACCGCAAAATTCCGGCCGCGAATTGTTTCTACCTACTACACAGCCCGGCTACCGCGCTCGCATAAGAGCGCCGATCGTAACGCCTGCTTCGCTTCGCGCGAGGAAAGGCGTCGTTGGTGAGCTCTTGGTATTCTTCGCTTGCTCGCGTTTAGAGAAAGACGCGCCGCAGCATCGCGTCGCGTCGGTTAATTGCGCGCTAGGGAATACGGTTCTCGTCGATGGTGTAAGTGTAGCGTTATTTTGTTAGCCGTGGTTATCGCACGATCTCGTGCTCAACATAAGCATACTAATCCCTTTAGACAGATTCGGATTTTATTAGTATTAATTTGTCAAATTTGAGACATTAACATTATGAGCCAGGTGAGAAGAAACCTCGTGAGAGATTCTTAAGTTCCATTAAGTCATAAAAATTCGGAAATGTGGTTTTTGCATGACGCAGATAAAAAATTCTCATTTTAATCTTACGTAGCATACATGAAAAAGTAAATGTAAAAAATGCAAATAATAATATTGCGTTCTTCTATAATTATTTATGATATTGCTTAATTACTTTCCAGCGAAATGCGAAACAATCGTTAATTTATATTTTATAAAATATAGTTGACAAGGAAATATCTCATTCAAATACATTCCTGTATATATTTAAATATCTAGAAAGTTTTAAACACATGCATAAAGAATATCTTTAAGCGCTTGTCTCTGTGCTACATTCGGATAATCGAGGATCGTGTCGAGCCACCGTAAGGCAGCAAGGAATACAGGAGACAGGTCCGGTATCGGAATATATCGGTTATATTTCTCGAGATTTGTCTCGAGACAATTGACAGATTTGTAGAGCGGAGGTGAACAGCTTCTGTACCAAACATCGAGTCAAGATTCCGACGAGACAAAAGGCTACGTCGTCGTCGTCTTGGCAGTCGCCGTTTCTGAATTCACTCATCTCTCCTCGTTCTGTTCTCGTCCCTCCCTTTCACTGTTCCATGATTCTCTACGCATCAACTCGGATTTACAACACGGTAGTATGCGCTATGCTCGATCCTACTTCGGGAATTGTTCTTTGTATACGTTCCTCACCGCTCGCTAAGGGTTCCAATTAGTCTCGGCATCCGGTGATCTCTCCGCGTCGCAGGGGCCACCAAAAACGCGGGGCCTGATTTCAATCCGGGACTACCGATCGGGAATGTGCATTCGAAATAATTAGCTGATTCCGCCGAGATATCGTGTTCCACGAATGCAACGATCATCGGACGGAGTGCAAACTGGAAAGGACGGATCGAATGGTTGGGTGCCTTTTGTTGCGTTGCATAACGATCGAAAGGACAAACATTCTCGATAAAATCGTATCTGATCTCTCTACTGCGTTTGGATATCGGTGGTTTCACGTTTCTCGAGAAAAGAGATTTTAATTTTAGATGTTTTAAAAAATGGAGCAAAAAAGAAATCGACAAAAATCATTAGTTTACTATCACTATTTTATAACACTAATATAATTTTCAATGCAATATACACATATGTATACATACATATATATTAGCAGATACCATATATATTTTTTCTTTCTCAACGACATTTGAATTATTTGCCTGTACTTTGCTTGTACCAGTAAATTCTCTTATGGCAGAATCACTTATTTAGGATAATCACGGTAAAAGAAGCGGTGGCATAAAACTTTGAAGGGGTGCGCCGATCTGTGAAAGTACTCTCTACGAGAGTTCATATTTCAGAATTATGGTATTTCGCCTGTATGGCGCGTATATTCTACGGGATTTCTTCTAGAATTTTTCACGTCGACAATAAAAAACACAAGCGTAGCCATTGTTATTTCTTGCTAAAATTATTATTTTATAATTGTATATTTTATTTTTTTAAATTCTTTTCAATTTTTTAGATGCAATAACAATGCACAAATTAATAATACAATGTACGCTGTATAATTATAAGTATTTATAAAAGTTTTTATTGGAAAGAATTTACGCAATTGTTATATTAAAAATTATTTATAAATTTAAAAAGTTTTACTTTAAGAGGAAATATTTAAAAGAATATTATAAAACATTTAACATGAATACGAAGTAATTAATTAAATTCAGCAATATAAATGATTAAATATTTAAAGAGATCAAGCAAGTTTTATTATGTAATAATATTAGATAAATATTTTACCCATAAATTACTATCTTCTTCGCAACAATCACTAATCAAGCGAGGATACGAGAATTGTTTGCTTCGGTCGAGCGACGGTAGGCTATCGTTTAATAGCGGCCGAAGCGGCCATCAGAGAATCAATTTTCGTTCGTCGATTACTCGATTTGTTTCGGGACACTTTTCTGCGATAATCACCTATTGTTTCGTTGGAGAATCCACGAGCAAAAAGTAGTTAAATTCAATCCTGCGTCTCTGGTGGGTTTTTTGATGAAATTAAATAATGATGCAAATTGCTTCTTCAACGATCGTCTTTTGTAATTCGTAAATTGCTTAACTAATTAACGCTGGAGATAATATCATTTACCTACAATAGTAACTAAAGAATATAATGTATGTATGTATCGATTGGCGTTAATTATTTACGTTACAATTAGAGACTCTATAATTTAAAGACTGATAATAGATAATTATTAAGTTGTTAAAAGTTATTAAATTATCGAATTGTAAAATAATAAACAGAAAGTACATTTATATGATTATTATCGCGGGATATTTTTTTGTTAAGTTTATGTTTTCAGAATATCATCACGTTCCATATTACGTATCGATAAGGAGTAAAGTTGTCTGGATTTTATATAGCAGCGAGAAATCGTCGTTCGTAAACCGCGCCTGTAACCACGTAATCGCTTTAGCCGCAATGAACCATGAAAAGAATCTGCCGAGAAATACAAGGGAGATTGGCACTCCGCCAAAGATTAAAGACTGTCTCAAACACAATTGTCGTCGCACCTTGCAAAATTATTACTAGAACGATCGAGAATTAATGACGCTACTTCGAGGAATTATTATACTAATTGTAAAAATATAAAAGAAAATAAGAATTCTCTTTTAAATGTCATTTTCTCACCTTAGCATATATATTTTATTAACATAAATTAAAACATAAATTAAGATACCGAAATAAAACCAACTAGTTTAGTCAATATTTAAAACAAGAATAACGTGTGGAAAATATATTAAAATAAAGATTATGTGTATGTGTGTGACACTTACCGTTTAAAGGAGCATGATGAGAAAAGTGAGCAGGGAAGAAGGTGGCTGCTGCGGCCGCCGCAGCGGCTGCGGCTGCATTCTGATGTCCGCCGCCCCAGACTGCAGAGTGAAAATTAGGCGGAATCCCGGGTATACCACCGAGAGTGGAGAAACCACCAAGGTAGGCTGGAGTTGGTCTAACGGGAGTTGGACTGGACGGATGATGCTGAAGATCCTCGACGTCCACTAGTCTGCTTTCATCGTCCTCCTCGACGTCGTCCGTCTCTGAACACCTCGAGTGAATTTCACCATGAGAACTGTTCGTAGGTGATTGCGAGCCAGCATCCTGATGATTGCCGATGATTTTCGGAGACGAGGAACAGCCTACCATGGGTTCCGGGGTAGTTCTGATGTCGGTAGACGGATGTATTCGATAATCTACGCTACCAGAGGTTGATCGTCTGCTGGGTGATTCGATACTACAAGCGAAATCGATTACTTCGGGATATCTTGGTGGTGTCCCCGAATCTGAAGCATTGTGAGGAGAGACACAATGGCTCAATCTAGTTTCTTGATTGGGCAACGACGATGAAGTATATCTTGATATTTTCAAGTCGCAAAGATGCTTCGGCACCATAGTGTTGATGGTGATACGAGGTTCCTGTCGAATCGGCAAATACGAGACGACCGGTGATGATCTGGATGACATTAAGAGAGGACCCTGCTTTGCCGGGGACTCCGACGTCTTTCTGGTATCCTCCGCCAGCAGGGCCGCGACGGAGAAACTCAATCGATGAGTCGGTTTCGAGGTTGCTTGCAGCGCCTGAGCCTCGTTTGACGAATCCGGACTGGTCGATCCAGGCGTCACCGGCGAGGTCATCCTTATTACTGTCATTCTCGAACGTCGATCGGGCACGTTATGTGCCGATTAGCACTGCTCGGATTCGCAACAACAATGTCCCGATATTTCAAGTCTGAACGAGACTTTATCCGCTCATTCCACGACAGACTAAAAAACTCGACGTGCTTCACTGCTTTTCAAAGCACTCTTCACTGATTCGCGCATAATCTTTCACGAACTCGCAAATTGCTTGAAGTCGATGTTGGCCAATGGTCAGCTCCGAAAGACGACGCGCGCGAGACACATCGTTCACGCCAAGGGCATCGTTCGACGTTTGACAGTTCTTATGGATCAATCGATCGTGGACTGTCAGCTCCGGTAGCCTCTAGCCAAGCCGAGCTCTCCGTGTGGACTGAGTCTGACCGCTCTGCCAGCACCGCCCTGATTTTTCCTTTTGCCTCTGGCCGGGTGTTCATGGTGGGGCTGAACGCACGTCGGAACAAGAGAGATCTCTCACCAGAGTGGGAAATCCAAGTGATAGAATGAGAAGGAGAGGATCAAAACGGGGCTGGGAACTACCAACGGGGCTGGAAACTAGCAACAGGGGCATTCCTCGCGATGCTCCGCCCCGTAGCTGGGGACCCAGGAACAGGCGGAATTATCTATACAGCGATTTTTGTGCCGAGAGGGATAAGTTTCTCTCGTGCAAATGCGACGCGCCGTCACGGAGCGGGGGGAGATGTGGAAAGGGGGGTGAGGGGAGCGCGACGAGGAAGGAGAGATTTAATCGCCACTTGCTTTACTACGTCGGAGACGGTAATGAGTGCAATTGAGCAATTAGGCGGGGTGATTAAGATTGAAAAAAAAAAATTAAGAGTGCGGATGAGATAGTTTTCAATTGTCGTTGCGCATATTAAATGATAAAGCAAAGAGATAATGTTTGGATTAGTCAACGAGGAACGTTGATGTGCAAGCATTCGGAAGCATTTAAAAATATTTCGATATGTTTATTGCATTGTTCTTTTAATGATAAATATTTTGACAAGTTGTTTCTTTTTTTAATAAAATTTTGTGATGAGAAATTGAGTTATGAAGATACTACTGGCATGATAAGTAACAAAAGAATTTTGTTGAATCTATAATTATAAAAAGAGAAATAAATAACAAAACTTTTTTTCTTTTTCGCAATTTAATTTTATTTATATAAATTTTAACTTGAATCAAAATTGAATTCGTAAATAGTAAATTCGGCAATAATTTATTAAAGATTAAGCCTGACATATATTGCTTTTTAATTTAATAAGCAATTTATCATACATCACGTTAATAAACCAAATAATATTAATGTAACAATTACAATATTTCAATTTATAATTATTATATCATTATTAATCACGTTTGTTTGAGAAACACACAACGTACTATATAACGGTTGAAAGTATTAAATCATGATCGCAACGCATATACGAGACGCGAAAATATAAGAATTCTGAAATTTCGGCTATCTCTTCCCGGTTCATTTCGGGAGATACGGTTTGTTCGCGCATGCAGGTAGACAGGTAGGTATATCGATTCGCAGTCGAACATCAACCCCTCTAACCAGTCTCGAGACTTCCCTCTCGACGTTCAGCCCCTAAATCGAGCCGTCGCGTCGCGGCATGTCGGGAGATTTTCGGGGTTCGGCCGTGGCGCTCGTTTGTTCTGACGGAGATTCCATCGTCGCATACCCGTCCGTCATATTTACGGTGACTCCGTCACGTAACTTCGCGATAAGCAAAAACAAATGAGTCCCGATAGGGATGCCGATATAACACTGCACCGCCGAATAAAACCTCGCGGACGTTCTTCCATTTTCGCGGAATTGGTTGGAGTCGTAAATTTCATCGTGCGGAAATCCGCACGGTGTCTATTTTCACCGTTTTATCAGAGAGAATCGATGTCAAACCTCAAAAACATATCGCTTACCAGTGCGAGATACGTTCATATCGTTACATTATCCGTAACTCCCTGTTTGATAAGAGTCCGTTTGTTTATCCATTTGATAAAGACTCCGAACGCAGACGAAGTTTATTAATAACGAATACAAAAATCTGTAAGAGACATGCAGCATAAAACACATACATGTTGTCTCTCGCGGATCAATTAATATATAAGACGTCTAATGAAGCTGAATAAAATCAAAAAAGATACGCATTATTGAGTTGGTCTTTACGCCAACTGCCTTTCTGAAAAATGTAATTTGGTCGATATCATCACAGACTTGTCTTATACATAACGAAATACAGATAGTCGGAAGATGATTCGCTATCGCGATTAACTTTCCCCGTAGCTAAATCGTCAGACTTTTAACAGCGCGATATTATGCTAACTGCAGACTCGACAATCGAGAAGAAATCACGATGGTAATAAAGAGGTTCATAAACTCCCATAACAAAGCATTTCGCTATCTTTCGTTATTCGAGGCATTAATATTTGCAGGCCATTGATTTTTAAATTCGGTTTGTGAGCATATCCATTCCGTTTGTTCTCAAGATAAATTTGTGTGTCCGATTGGCGAGGTCGTAACTCGTCCTTCTAGATTGACTTTCTTTCTTTTTAAAATACTCTTAAGATATTCAAATTTCCAGAATCTATGTGTATCGTTCCAGAGAATTTTCGAATCAAACTTATACAAATTATATCGATTTTGTCAAACTTTTTTGAAATTATTCGCTCAACAAACGCACAATATTAAAAAAATGTGCACGACTTTCTCATAATATTCTCATAAATAAATCAGCTACCGTGCGGTTTGCCATTACGATGTAATCTTTCACAGGAAACGAGTGTTTTAGATTAGAGCACACCGTGACGGTCGGATCGTCGTTATTAAACATCGTCTTTCCAATAATTAAAGACGACAAGAGCGAGGTCGGGAAAGATGCTGTTGCCGCGGGATAGAGAAGGATGAGCTAATTTGGATGGTTACCAAGGCAAACGATACGTTAAATAGATAGGACGGGTAAGCAGTGGGGAACCAGACATAATGAGGACCACCCGCTAGCACCATAAGACGTACTCGGTACACGTACTCGGTGTATCGCAGAGTTTTGCTTGAACGTTCGCCATTTTCTGTAAACAAACTTTCACGTACATCGGATCAATACTTTTTGGAGAAATATGATAATTTTCCTAGCAAATTATAAAATTTGGTGCGATATTAAAAGCAATTGATCTCTCTTTTTAATTTTTTTTTATACGCGTTAATATAGGAAATTGCAATTTTTATTAGTCAATGTGTTAATATTTGTAGAGGAAACAAATAATTTATTTATTAATTATATTCACAATTTTATATATGTATAATTCAATTTATCATTTTTTTAAACATTTCGAATATTTGAATTTTTTTGATTTATATTTTTATTTCTATCAGTAATTATTGCAAACAATATTTTCAGAAAGATATATGATATAAGACTAAATTTAGTTCAGTTTAGTTTAATTAATGTAAATAATACTGTATGTAATAATATCTATAAATACGCTATAAAATTTGTATTGATATAATAATGTTCCTATAAACATGAATAGAGAGCTCTAAGAAATTTTCGACCATTACGGATTTTGTGATATCGAGACACCCTATACGTGTAAAATGCTAGGAGCTGGCCGTTAATTATTAGCGAGCCGCTATATTGAGCATGAAAACAGTATTTCTTTCGGGCAGAAAAGATTCAAGTCAAATTGGCGTTAAAATTGCAATCACGGTGGTCCGTCTTCCTCGCTTCGCCTTGCTCCATCAGCTCGTTCCTCGCTTCCTCCCGTCCACGGAATTAGATCGTCTATTCTCAGAGAGAACGCGCACGCTCACCGCTCGGCTCTAATAGCCGTTTAGAGGGTTAATTTCTCTTCGGGAAAAAAAAAGAATCTGGTCATGGGAGCGCGCTCTTGCGCTTTTTGCCGTTGATGCGCCACTTATACTTCGATGATATATATCGAGCAGGTTGGAAAAAAATCTGTAGCCAACGTGGATTTTAGGAAATGTAGACCGTATTTCATTTTTGGAAATGACAATTTATAAGATTAATAGTAAGATTATTACAGTAAAAAATATTTAATAAATTTGTATTAAATAATCTAATTTGAGCTAATTTATATCTGAGTATGTTTTTGAAACATTTTAATATTATGTATTATAAAGAAAAGCTAAAAAAATATTTTTATGAGTACTTCTTTTTAAAATGTTTGGATTAGTCAACGAGGAACGTTGATGTGCAAGCATTCGGAAGCATTTAAAAATATTTCGATATGTTTATTGCATTGTTCTTTTAATGATAAATATTTTGACAAGTTGTTTCTTTTTTTAATAAAATTTTGTGATGAGAAATTGAGTTATGAAGATACTACTGGCATGATAAGTAACAAAAGAATTTTGTTGAATCTATAATTATAAAAAGAGAAATAAATAACAAAACTTTTTTTCTTTTTCGCAATTTAATTTTATTTATATAAATTTTAACTTGAATCAAAATTGAATTCGTAAATAGTAAATTCGGCAATAATTTATTAAAGATTAAGCCTGACATATATTGCTTTTTAATTTAATAAGCAATTTATCATACATCACGTTAATAAACCAAATAATATTAATGTAACAATTACAATATTTCAATTTATAATTATTATATCATTATTAATCACGTTTGTTTGAGAAACACACAACGTACTATATAACGGTTGAAAGTATTAAATCATGATCGCAACGCATATACGAGACGCGAAAATATAAGAATTCTGAAATTTCGGCTATCTCTTCCCGGTTCATTTCGGGAGATACGGTTTGTTCGCGCATGCAGGTAGACAGGTAGGTATATCGATTCGCAGTCGAACATCAACCCCTCTAACCAGTCTCGAGACTTCCCTCTCGACGTTCAGCCCCTAAATCGAGCCGTCGCGTCGCGGCATGTCGGGAGATTTTCGGGGTTCGGCCGTGGCGCTCGTTTGTTCTGACGGAGATTCCATCGTCGCATACCCGTCCGTCATATTTACGGTGACTCCGTCACGTAACTTCGCGATAAGCAAAAACAAATGAGTCCCGATAGGGATGCCGATATAACACTGCACCGCCGAATAAAACCTCGCGGACGTTCTTCCATTTTCGCGGAATTGGTTGGAGTCGTAAATTTCATCGTGCGGAAATCCGCACGGTGTCTATTTTCACCGTTTTATCAGAGAGAATCGATGTCAAACCTCAAAAACATATCGCTTACCAGTGCGAGATACGTTCATATCGTTACATTATCCGTAACTCCCTGTTTGATAAGAGTCCGTTTGTTTATCCATTTGATAAAGACTCCGAACGCAGACGAAGTTTATTAATAACGAATACAAAAATCTGTAAGAGACATGCAGCATAAAACACATAC